AAAATCGAATTCACATTCACGACGTCGTTTAAACTACAAAGCCCCCCAGTGTGAAAATAAAACCGATTATATTATTAGTAAAAAAGTGACAGAAGAAAGTTTAGGAAGTCTAATTTAACTAAGGGGGGGGTGGGTATGATTGATTTAATTGTCATGTATGTCTCTGGAAAAAAACCCCAATACCTTAAACTCATTCAAGCTTATTAACCCCTAGATGTCGATAGTATAGTGTTGGGTTGATATGCTGTTTTTTTTTCTCCAAAACAAACGTTGAGAATTGTGTCCATCACATCAATTAGGAAGAAAAGTTAGAAAATAGCGTTCTAAGACGGGAGCTGAACTCAGAAACGTGCAGTCTGCACCCTGGGTCTGCCCGCTCTCTCGCTCGTAGGGCCACGCAATTAAAAAAAAAAAGCTCGCACGGGCCTGACCTCTCTCAGGGCATGTGTTTCCAGGGGAACTTTAGGAAAGGTCGGATACTTCCTGTGTTGCTGCTGCTGCGGCTGCTGCGGCTGCAGGGAGCTTGAGGGATGCCAGCGAGGGGAATGGAGTTTCACTGAAGGACCGAAGTAACTAACGGGGCTACAGGCGAAACAGTGCGCGGAGAGACGGGGGAAGGGTACCCCGGGAGCACAGTCCAGGGGCGACGGAGAGGGGAGAGTGGAGCGTCGGGGGGGGGGAGAGACTGGAGAGCCGGCAGCCGAGACTTTCCTTTTCTTAAAATTGGGGTTTTGCGCTGGAGATGAAGCTGTTGAAACCAACTTGGGTCAGTCACAATGGTAAGCAGGAGTCACCTCGCTGTAGCGCTGGAATCCGGGGCTCTGAAGTTGCGCTTTTGTTGTGGGCTGGGGATGGCTGGAGCTCGCCGGACACTTGTTCGGGATTTTGCAGGTCCTCGCCGAAGCGCATGCAAGTGTCTTTTTTTTATTGAAAGATAAGAACATAAAATGATCTTTCATCCCCGGCGGTAGGTACCAGATAAAGCAAAATAAAAAAAAAGGCAAGGTTGAGTTTTTTTTTTTTACTCGGAAGAACCGAGAATGTCAGGAAAATACTTGTCGCTGCTGCAAAGCCGAAACATTTTGTTTTTTAACTTGTGGAGAGACGAGCTGTGTGTGTGAACAGGAGACCCCGCTTTCCACAGTGTAGCGAACTTCAGCGCAAAAAAGAAACATTTTCTTTCATGAAAACGCGCTGTTGTTTACATGGTTGGTTTTACAGACCGCGACATTTATTTTATTTACCTTTTGATAGGATTGTCCGAAGTTATTTTTTTGTTAACATAGTGAAGTGTTATTTGCATTTACCGAATGTTGCATGCTTGAAGTTGGAAAAACAATACGTCATTTATAAATTGCATATCGATTGAAAGAGATGTCGGTGTTAAAGTAGAACTTAAAGTTAAGGGACAATTGTTGTTTGCATATAAGTTACTTTATTTTTTAAAGCTCGCTTTTGGATTTCTGGATTTCTGTTTATTGCTCTTCTTTTTAATGCATTCATAGTTTTGGCTTCAGTTTGAATTAAATGATTTTTCCAGCGGTAACTTGTATATTGGCCGTGCACGTGTAGCTAGAACACAGGTGTTATTGCAGACTTCAGACATTGACGCGTTTGATAAGCGCTTTTCAGGAGGCAGAGTTAATATAAAAACACACTAAAATTCGGAACATTGACTGAGTCAATTTCCGCTTTCAGTTTATATATGTAGTATGTGCGATAATTCATATTTTTAAATATCTCTGTTCTCTCTTGCAGTCAGATATGATCAAACATCTCAGAAAAGTTACACATTATACTAGCGTTTTACTGCTGCCATTCTGTGTGCCTGGTGACTCTTATTTTTCTTTCGTTTTCCTCAGGAAAACCAATATTTTCTATTGACATTCATCCCGAAGGAACAAAGTTTGCGACAGGTGGACAAGGTGAGGCTCCAGTCTGGCCAGATTGGTTTTTAATTACAAGGGAAGATACTGTTTCCTCTCGCCTTTGGGGGCAACAAAGTGACCCATGTTGCCTGTTAATGTTGGAAACTGTGTGCCAGGATGGTTGTGATGTCATCATGGATGCGCCAGACTGGAGGACACCTGGAAATTAATTTGAACAGGGGTGCGTCTGTACCACAGAGGGGGCACTAGGAGCCTAGATGTGTCGTTGAAGCTGGAAACAATCCTTCAAGAGCCTTGGCTCTAGTAATTGGTAGCAACCAAACGAGTTGCTAAGGTCTGAGGAGGTTGTGTATTGTTCTTTGCGAAAAATTCTTGAAGTTTTTTTTCCCCCTCGGGTCTCGTACTGGCTGTCCTCGCACCTTGACGATGTTGCTGTTCGGTTGACAGGAGAGGATTCTGGGAAGGTTGTCATCTGGAACATGGCGCCCGTCCTCCGAGAAGAGGACGAGAAAAACGAGACCGTTCCCAAGATGCTTTGCCAAATGGACAACCACTTAGGTACTGGCTAAAGCTTGGTTTTCTTTGGAGAGAACGGTCATGCGCTCATCAGTGGTAAAAACACGCAGTATAGTGTTGTACGTGGGCATGCTGGTGTGGTTAGCTTTGTAGGCGTGTGCCTGTTGCAGACTGCTGCTACCCTGCATTGTATAATACAGCAATATTTCTAAAGATGTCTTACATGAAACTTCTATTGGAGCCATTCGGGCCACAAGAAGTCCTGTTTTGTGGAAGGAAAGGTATTTGATGAGCGTTGGCAGTGTCATGGTTCAGGATGCTATTAACAATCAAAACTATTTTATTTGCAGACAATGTCATGCTCTGGACAGCAGTCTTAATTCATGAAAACAAGTTAGTGATGACGCGGAGTTCTTTGTTATGCCGCTATAGGAAATGTTCATTGAAAGGCGGCTGCACTTTTAAAAACAAGCGATCGTCGGAGAAAGATGGGTGGTGCTGTGGTGAGCACTGCTGCCTCCCAGCACAGGGGCCCCGGGTTCAATTCCTGGGGTGCTGTCTGTGTAGAGCTTGCATGCTCTCCCTGCGTTTGCGTGGGTTTTCTCCCACAGTCCAAACACATACTGGTGGGTGAACTGGCTTCTGGGGAAATAGACACACTCACACCAGGGCCGGTGCGTGCCTGCCCTGCAGTGGACTGGCGTCCAGCCCAGGGTGTACCCCGCCTTGCGCCCGTTGCATGCTGGGATAGGCTCCGGCTCCCCCCTGACCCTGAATGGGATAAAGCGATGAGAGGCTGGACGGATGACGCAAAGAAGTAGTTGAATACATCTTTATTTGTGTGTGTGACGTGGTTACTTTATTTCTTAGTTGCATGTCTTCTGTGGCCTCAGTCAGATAGGATCCCGGTGCGCCTCTTTATTCCGTCCCCCCCCCGAGTGTGTGGTTTGTAGAGTCCGCTCTCCGCACGGCCCCCCGCTTCCTGCAGTCCCGCTCCCCAGGGCTCCCTCCCCCGGCTCTCGGAATGCCCTGGGGGTGCTGGGAAGAAGGTGTGGTCCATGGGAAGTGATCCTCCGTGTCTGACCCCCTGACTGTGTGTCTCTCTCTCCCCCTCCGCAGCCTGCGTGAACTGCGTTCGCTGGTCCAACAACGGCCTGTACCTGGCGTCCGGGGGCGACGACAAGCTGGTCATGGTGTGGAAGAGAGCGGCGTACGTACTCTCCCCTTTCCTGGGTGCCTGGTCCCTGGCAGGGCTCCAGTCTGGGGGGGGGGGGGTTGGCAAGGGGACAGATGGTACCACTTGTCTGTCCTCTCCTTTGCCAACTGAAGGTGCCCCAAGCCTCTGGTGGGAATGGGATCAGCAGTGCTATAGAAATGGCATCACCCTCTGTAAGAGGCAAGAGACTCCTAAAGGTGACGCTTGTCGGTGTCGGTAGCCCACAACACCCCCAGGCCTGCTGCTATGAAGTACAGCTTTCGCAAACCCTCGACTATTGCGATGTGTTTGTCTTATAACCACTGCCCCCTCTAATGTTTAATTGCCTGTGTGCACAACAATGTCAAGATGTGCAAATTTCCTCCCAGGGACAAAAACGTGTGTGTCCTAAATTGAGTGTATGTCAAATTGTAAACCTCAAATATTTTTTTGTTAATCTAGTCATCCTCATATCACCAACAGACCGGGACAGCGATTCAACAAGTCCAGGCATAGAGACTGAGTGTGGAGCGAGTGTGAGCAGGGAGGTTCGAGACTACGAGAGCATTGATCTCGGTTCTCGAGTACTGAAGCAATAATGATGCACACATTACTATCGCAGCCAGTCTCGTGTGGTCAATTTAGCATTTTTCAATTGACGACCGTGTTTGTTTTATCATTTTTTTTAATTAATTTTTTTGTGCGCAGTTCAATTTCTTATGTGTGCTGATTTCATAATCTGTGTGTGCTTGCGCACACACGCACAGCTTAGAGGGAACATAACGTATAATAAACGTATCCCAGCTCACCAGTGAGATCCCCAGGCCCATACTGCGTGCTGTGTGTAATCATGGGTACCGCGCGATGGGCGTTTTCTGGCAAACTCCTCTGCAAGCCAGGAGTTTCCAGACACCGGTCAGACGCTTTTCTTCTCCGAGAACGTTTCTCGGGCAAGGGAAATGGCTGGCACGACCGTGGGCGACCCCCGACGCTCTGTTTGTCCTCCTCGCTGTAGGTACATCGGTCCCAGCACCGTCTTCGGCTCCAGCAGCAAACTGGCCAACGTGGAGCAGTGGAGGTGTGTCACCATCCTGAGGAGCCACACGGGAGGTAGGGCCGGGCGGCGGGGGGGATCGGGCGAGTGGGCGTGCAGACTGGGGCGCCAGGAGGCCGGTTGGGGGGCGGGGGGTCTCGGTTGTGGCCGGCGACGCGCTGGCTGCGGGTCTTCGGGGGCCACGCACGTGACGCTGTGCTTTTGCAGACGTGATGGATGTGGCGTGGTCACCGCACGACGTCTGGCTGGCCTCCTGCAGCGTGGACAACACCGTCGTCATCTGGAACGCCCGCAAGTTTCCAGGTGAGTCCGGGCGAACAGAGAGGGTGGAGGGAGGAGACCTGCCGCCCTGAGGGGACCCCAGCACGGTGATGTGTTGTGGCCTTATTATAGTGTAAAGAAGCTGGCTTTCGAATACATCTCTTTTAATCCAATAGAGATATTGCTCTCAACTTTGAGGTGGTTTTGCCGACAAAGACTACTGACTTGTTAGCACTGCAAGGAGATCACGTTGGAGCATTTCTGTGGTGGAATGTGTGCTGCACAACCTGTACTTATTCGGGGCACATCGCATTACATTAGTTGTTACGGTGACTAGTGAGCAGGAAGGGCTGCATCATGTCACAATTCCTGTGGCGAGACCAGGAGTTTGCAACAACATGGCGACTTACAGTACTTTCACAAAGTTCATGATTTTGGCTTAATTCGAAATTTGTCATTTCTTTTCTATACCGGCAATACATTTTTCTGGTATTTTGTTACCGAGATGTAATAAGCGGTTGAGAAATTGGGACTGCAGTTCCCCTCTAAGCTGAACACTCTGGTTTTGGAAAAAGGCAAGAACGAGCTCCAACCGGTATAGATTCAGAAACATTTACTTCTGCGAAGTATTTATGAGATGTCTGCTCACGTGTAGTTTTCACCCTGGAGGGGAAAAAAATGTCTGTCTGTGAAAGTCTTCTCTCTGAGCATGTGCCTTTAATTGAAAGGTATTAGATGCCTTTGCAATAAAATATATAGTCAAGCATTTGGAGAAGAACTGTCTCACTGTGGTATAGTGTAACCCACGAAGGGGAAATCTCTCTGAACTGTTCTGGGCTGCCTGAGTAAGTCGTAGGATAACTGCTGGTGCAGGCATTCTCCTGGATATTATCTGATCAACTTCAAATAGCCGTGCATAAGGTGACTAAATTGTATATGTCTACTTGCTGGAACCGTGTGCAGATTTGCAGAACCTTATGCAGGCTTCTGCTGTGCAGCGGTTCTTTCCTGGACTCTGAAGGCCTCTCTGCTCGAAACAGCAGCCTGTGCTGTGCAGGTAGCGTCTGTGTATGTGGTAGCGAGGAGGAGTGTGTGTGGGGGGGGGGGGGCTGGCACCGGCACGCAGGGGTTTTCAGGATCTGGGTGTCGCCTGCTCCCCTCAGAGATCATCACGACCCTGCAAGGCCACACGGGGCTGGTGAAGGGGCTGACCTGGGACCCGGTGGGGAAGTACATCGCCTCCCAGGCCGACGACCGCAGCCTCAAGGTGTGGAGGACCATGGACTGGCAGCTGGAGACCAGCATCACCAAGCCCTTCAACGAGGTGAGGCACGGGGGGGCTTCAGGAAGTGGACCCCGCCACAGGGCGGCACGCCCCTGCTGGGGGCAGTTTCCTGGACTGTGTGTCTGCTGCATGCTGACCCTTGCAGCCGGTTGAACATGGAGTAAGAGAGAGATGAGATGAGTTTGTCTTTTTCCTCTGGCTCTTCATGCTATGTAGTTGACCGGGGTCTCTTGTGAGTGCGGCAGTCGTTTGTGTGTTTGTGTGTTTGTGTGTTTGTGTGTTTGTGTGTTTGTGTGTTTGTGTGCTTGTGTGCTTGTGTGTTTGTGTGCTTGTGTGCTTGTGTGCTTGTGTGCTTGTGTGTTGAAAAATCGAATCCCTGGCGCCGGAGCGGCCCCGTTAACCCGCTCGTGTCTCCACGCGTGCACGCAGTGCGGGGGCACGACTCACGTGCTGCGGCTCAGCTGGTCTCCGGACGGGCAGTACCTGGTCTCCGCCCACGCCATGAACAACTCGGGCCCCACGGCGCAGATCATCGAGCGGGACGGCTGGAAGACCAACATGGACTTCGTGGGGCACCGGAAGGCCGTGACGGTGGTGGTAAGTGAGGGGCGCCTCTGCGTGGCTCTCGGCTCTCGGCTCCCTTAACCTGTACTTCGGCTCCCAGCACCTGTTCGCTCACCCCTGATCAAGAACACCTTGAACATTGAAGAACAGGTCAGTTCTTCAAATCTAAGATAGATCAGAACTACAGAATGAAAGAGACTGAATTATATGTTTAATTTCATTTTCCAGTCAAATTGAGAATTGCATGGAATTTGTTTTGAAAGTTTCCCTTAAAATATCTCCGTTTCATGACGCAACTTAGTTGTACTTATGTGTACAGATGTGCCTGTGCTTACTTTGTGTTTTTCCTTTAAATCTAAGGTAGATCAGAACTGTAGAATGAAAGAATGAATTCCGTGGTAAAATTGAGACTACATGCAAAATTAAACAGTTTTTTTCAGGTTTACTTTAAAATACCAAGCTTTAATGCAGCACAGTGGTTGACCTTATGTGCCTGTGCTTAATTTGTGTTTAAGATGACATTACTTCTAAATAAATCTGGCCTGTCTCAGACCCCAGGTTGAGACCCACTGCTCTGCATTTAAACCACCTGTAACACAGGGGGCAGTGTGGCAGAGAGGTGGGGGCTCCGATATTGACTACAAACTACAAGGTCGTGGGTTCAAATCCTGGGTGGGGAGACTGATCTTGTACCCCTGTGCAAATAAACTACTCAGTGGTGTAAGTAGTTGCAGATGTAAAGAGCTCTGAATGAATGTGTCGGTCCAATTATAAATAGTAGTGACTGTGAACAATAAGGAGCACATGATGAATCATGATGCACAAGCCCAGCAATATCTGATAAATTGTGCTGTGTAGGGCCTTATGCAGATGCTGAATGCTAATTATATTATATATGAGGGAGTGTTGACAGCCTAGGTGGATTAGAATAGACACTCTGGGTAATGGATGCTTATAGCGAGCGCCTTCTGATGCCTGAGAGATTGCGTGTTTATGGAGAGAGTCCAGAACCTAGCGGTATTATTCTCTTGGACAAACGGGGCATTTTCTGCTGAAGGATTATCAGTTTTTATGATAAATCACACATAAATCCCGGAAAAAAATGAAAAGCGAAAGTGTTCCTCATGGATCATGTGGTCCTCCTTCTGCGGCTGCTTTTTAAACGACAAGGTGGTCACCTGAGGCTGACCTGATGGTGGTCGAATAGCAGCTGACCCATTCCTAGTTTTTTTTTTTAACGTGTTCTCCAGTTGGGTTGGTGTTTTCCATCAAGCTCTCTGCTCAGCGCTCTCTAGCCAGTCCACCGGATCGTGCTGAGGATCGTGCTAGGATCAGACAGGCATTGTCTCCATACTTGCCCTCAACCTGCTGAGCTCTCGGTGGTTTCTTTTTTGGGTCGAGATGCTCCACGGATTTTTCATTACATTTTTGAAGAGATCATGTGAGGGTATTGAGGACAAGAACATGCACGGGGACCAAAAGAGCCGACCTCTTGAGCACGGCGTTTTTTTAACTCGAATGTGTTGCTCGTTTCCGAGCTGCTGCGTTTCTCAACAGAGTGCTCCATGAAACCGTTCCAGGTTCCGACCGTCTGGAAACGCTGGCGGCCTCTGTTGCTCTTTCGAGATGCCGGGATCTGCCGTGTCAGTGCTTGCGTCTCGGGGGGGAAACACCGTTGTGTAAACCCTCGTGCCCCCTTGACGTTTCCAAAGTCGGCGTCTTTTTTTGTTGCAGAAATTCAATCCGAAGATCTTTAAGAAGAAGCAGAAGAACGGCAGCTCCCCGAAGCCCAGCTGCCCGTACTGCTGCTGCGCTGTTGGGAGCAAGGACAGATCTGTCTCGGTCTGGGTGAGCCGGGTGTGGGCGCCTGGGGTCGATCCGCGAGGAGCAGTGTTACTTTCGTTTGTTTGTGTGTTCATCCTTGTTTTGCCATTACCTTGCCCCAGTGTTACATGTTCAACTTTTGTGTTCTTTTGTACCCTGCTCCTGTTGATTACTCTTGTTTTCCCTTATTTGTCTTCCTGGTTCCCTTGTGTTTTTGTGTGAACTTTTGTATATAAGGTTAGTTTAGGTTGTTGGGTACACTTACACACTTAGTTGATTTTGTATTAGTACACTAGTTTAGTACGGGTGAGTGCTGTTTGTCTTGTGTGGTTTTGGGTAGTCAGTGCAGGTTAGCTAGGGTGTTGAAGACTTCAGGTCTCTTTGCTCACGGGACCCAGAAGGGCCGGGCTCTGTCTGGAGCCTGCCGATAGATTGCCGTGCACGGAGGTGGCCAATATTTTCTCTCATCTTGTAAGAGTTCCTTCTCTCTCCTTTTAATCTTTGGAAACGCCAGGAAAACCAGTCAATTGATTTTATTTACGATTTGTGACGATTTCCCATAACCCACAGCGCCATGTGTTTTCAGAGTGGTGAGAAGCTCGAGAAGAGAGTTCAATAGGAGCCAGGGTTACCATCTTGTCCTGTATGGGCTTGTAAAATCATGGTATTGATTGGAAACCCTGAAAGCATGAGTTTGGAAAAAACAGTTAATTATTCTGTCGTAACAACAACAAGCAAATAGAGGTTGACGGTGTTCTAAAACATCTTGATAATGGGTCCTCTTCCCTATCCCGTGATCTCACAGGTTGAAACAGACCTTATTGATCAACCACATACCCTTCTATTTAAATAATGCTCAATAGACTTCCATCGCTGGCTCCAGGAAATATTTGTGGTATAACTGGTTTTGTTCAAGTACATATTGCATCTCTGAAAACACCAGTCAGCCCAGTTAAAATTGTAATAAGAACTGTTACGTTTGGCTACAATGGACAAGGGCATTCTCGGTGCAGTACAGTCGTGCCTCAAGCCATCTATGAATATGTCTCGTTCCTTCTGTCTGTTTTCCAGTTGACTTGCCTCAAGCGCCCCCTGGTGGTCATCCACGATTTGTTTGACAAGTCCATTATGGATATCACATGGTAAGGCCCTTACTGACATATACCCTTGCCAACCCAACTGCAAGCGAAAGCATGCAGTCTTCCATCTGTGAACAGGGAATGGCATTTAAGAGTCAATTAAGTCCAAATTCAGCCTTTTGTGTGATACTGTGCACCTTTCTGTTTTGGCAATACAGTTAAACATTCATAACGTGCTATTGAATTTGTATGCGCCTACCAGCTTGTCTGAGTTTGCCACTCAGCTTTAACCTGCTCAGACTTTTGTGAGCAATGCGCTCTGCTTCCCTGTGAGACTGTGGCCTCGAGCAGCACTAGTTCAACTAGAGCCCGTGCTGCTTTCGCAGTTGCATGCAGAAGGCTGGAATCGTTGTATAGCTCAGCCGTGTGAGCCAGTCTCTCCTCCTCAGGACGTTAAATGGGCTCGGGATCCTGGTGTGCTCGATGGACGGCTCAGTAGCCTTTTTGGACTTCTCTCAGGATGAACTTGGGGACCCTCTCAATGAGGATGAAAAGGTAAAGGGGCCTTTTACCATGTGGGATTGGGAGCTTTGCCCTTTGAAGTCCTCTGCCTGGGGTGACCTGGTTCAAATACAAACAAATTGCAATTGACTGCCTGTGTCACAGCAGTGGTGATACGTTTTCAGGAGCCTGGCGCCCCCTACAGTGCTGTGTCTGCACTAACCCCAAGTGCTGGTGACGTCCACTCAATAACCTGAGAAACTGAGAAGGACAAACTCGCTTGTCTGTTATAATCATTCAACTCTGTGGTTCGCAGGTGCTTCACAGTTCTAATTGGGCACTAGGTCATGCTGTTGCAAGGACTTTATATAAGGACTTTGTGCCGGGCCCTTTACTGCACTTCCCAGCGTGCTGTGTTTTGTGTTGTGCTGAGATCTCTGTTTTGTTTTTGCCTGCTGGCAGAACTCCATTCACCAGAACATCTATGGGAAGAGCCTGGCCATCACCACCGAGGCGCAGCTGTCCACCACCATCATCGAGAACCCCGAGATGCTGAAGTACCAGCAGGAGAAGCAGGTGGCGGAGCACCGCGATGCGGCCAGCCGCGAGGCCGCTGCGCCCAAGCTAACCAGCGTGGTGAACGGCGAGTCCCTGGAGGACATCAGGAAAGTATGTCACCAAGGCATTGACGACGGCCCAGCACCCTGGTCCTAGAGAGCCGTGGAGCATTCTGGGTTCCGTTCTGATCAATCTCTTAGTGGCTCCAGTTAATTGAGACCAGTTCAGTTGATTTAATCATTTCAATTGCTCCCAAAATTGGCGGAACTGTAGTTCCACTGCACCTGAATCACTGGCCTCACCATCCAGTTATTGTTTTAAGTGTTTTCGGCGTGTGGGTCGTACTGTTTGGTCGTTGATTTGCTGACGTTTTGTGTCCTTGCTCCCGTGTGACAGAACCTGTTGAAGAAGCAGGTGGAGACCAGGACTGCGGATGGCCGACGCAGGATCACTCCTCTGTGCATTGCTCAGTTGGACACGGGGTGAGGCTCCTTCTGTCCTTCCTGACGTGTGCTCCTCTGGGCGCAATGAGTTTTCAGTGCTGCGGCCCGCCTGACGCCCCTTCAGGGGACAAAGTATCAAGCGCTGTGGTTTAATTAGCATTTTGTCTACAGGAGCCCACGTAGCGCGATCTCCGTCAGATGTTCAGATCATCACTTCAGTTGAGGCTTGAACAGACTTGAACAGAGTGAGGCAGCATTATTGTAGGCTTTGATCTATACTGGCCATGTACAGAACGTCTTCTGCTTGGGTCTGGCTAGAATCAAACCCTCATCCATCCTTCCCAGCCAGGATGCGTCGTTGGCCGACTCGGTTTTCATTGCTGCTGGAAGTTTGGAAGTCTTTGGGAAGACATCCCAGATTGGGGGATATGACGCTCCTTTTCCACTGCAGGACTTTACTGAGATTAATCAAGTTTATTGTTACAAGGCAATCATAAGAGGAGATGAATCAAATTAAATAGCATAATTCTTGAGCGCTAATGACTCGCGGGTCTTTGCGGGTGGTTTTCGGAAAATCGATTAACCGTGTGGCTTTGTCTCTCCCTCAGGGATTTCTCGCCAGCCCTCTTTAACAGTGTCCCGATCCTGCCCGGGTCGTCCATGTCTTCCCAGCTGACTCCTCAGCTGACCTCCTCCGACTCCAACACCGCCAACTCGCTCGGCCTCAAGCCCTCTCAGGACACGCCCCCCGCGCCCCCCAGCAAGCCCCCAGACGAACCCCAGCACAAAGATGGGTGGGTGACCCCCGCCAACCTCCACATCAGGTTGAACACTGCCGTTTTGAAAAGGGCAAAAACAGGCTCCCCCTGGTATAGAATCAGAAACATTGAAACTTCTTCAAAGTGTTTGCAAAAGACTTCTGCCCACTTGTAGTTTTCACATTGTCTGTGAAAGTCTTCTGTGTGAGCGTTTGCCTTGAATTTTAAAGTATTAGATTCCTTTGCACTAACAGTAGGAAAAGAACTGTCTGTTTGGGGGTATAGGGAAATCCATGAAGAAATCTGTCTTTAGGAGTTGGAAGATTGCTTTGACAGCCTGGAAGAGATGCCCTGTTGATGTCAGCACCCGGGGGTTCTGCCTGGGATTGTACTACAGCGTGTTGATTGGTTTATTACTGTTTCCTTCAGCTGTGGGTGTACGGGAGACCAGGCCTCTTCTCCTGACAGGCTGCTATATTTAGACCTGAAATCAGTAGTGACTTGATGAGGCCGTTTTAAGTGTAAAAAAAAAAAGAAAGAAAACCAGGAGGCCAAGGGCTGAGATGGACGTGATAGTGGGTGTGGTTAGATGGACGGGGTGCTATTAGCTGCATGATATTGGGTGTGGTTAGGTAGTGAGGGGTGTGGTTATACGGAAGGGGTGTGGTTTCATGCCTGAGATGGGCGTGGTCATGCATGTGCATGTGTGTTAGCCAGCATGCTTAGGCCTATGATATTTAAGATCCTGTTTCTGATCTGATCCCCCTGTGTTTGCCTGTTGTCCTGCAGCGTCGGTGTCTCCTCCTCAGTTCCCGCCACTGTCGCCAACTCTACTGTCATGAAAACGAACCTGCTGCTGACCACTGCGGCCAAGATCGAGCCAATGAAAGCACTCGACTCCCGGTTCACCGAGAGGTCGAAGGCCACGCCTGGGGTCGCCGTATCCTCTCCTGCAGTCAGTGTCGCCCCCTTAGAACGGTGAGACTTGACCGTTGAGTGTTCAGGTCATCATGATCGTAGTGCAGAGGCTGTTTGTGCTTCTCGTGATGCTTTGCCTGATAATTTTTTTGATTTCCGGCACCATGTAGACAAGCCCGAGATCTCTGGAAGTGCTGTTGAAGATTGTTTTGGACTTAAAGTAACCAATCCTAAAAAAAAATGATGTGGCAAAGTTGATTTATTTATGCTTGCATAAGTATACACATCAGATTTCAAGTAATCACCATCTAACCTCTCTAAACTGTCCCTGATGAACTTTCCCAAAAGTGTTTGCTTACAGACAGGCGTTGATTTCCTGGGAAAGTCAGCAGAGCCATGCGCTTTGTTTCGGTTTGGCTGTTGAGGATTCGACCATCGTCTCTCTCTCTCTCTCCTCCGCAGGGTGAAAGACGCGGGCGGCGCAAAGGAGTCCAGGGTGAAGGAGGAGACGAGCAGCGACAGCGAGGACAAGATGGCAGCCATCAAGTCCCTGTCCAAGAGGAAGGGCGATGCGGAGGGCGCAGAGGTGGTGGAGAAGAGGAAGAAAGGGAGGCCGAGGAAAGACTCCGCCAAAATTGTAACCCTTACGCCAACGACACTGCAGGTACCCCACAGGGGCGAGGAGAGTCCAGTTCAGGTTGTGGTCGTTTTGAATTTGCAGTGAGTGAGTTGTGTTACTGGCGACAAACGTCCAAAAAATATTTCAATGTTCCTGTCTATGCTGTCGCGTCATCATCATCCTCCAGCTTGTTCTTGCAAGTATCGGAAATGAAAATGGTAATTTTCTATTACTTCTCTGCTAAGAGAGTCATGGAATTATTTGTATGTCTTTTTTAGTACTGTACGTAATTGTAGAGAATTGCTGCTACTTTTTCAGTAGCTGCAGTTTCCATATTGCTGAATAACCAACCCCTAATATTAGATAAGATCACTTTATTAGCCCTATACAATTTCTTGTTTTTGGAAATTGTCTTTTCACAGACCCCAGCTTGCTCTCCATGAGACACACAGACAGGGAGAGAGAAGCTGGGGGTCAGAGCGCAGGGTCAGCCATTTATACGGTGCCCCTGGAGCAGTTGGGGTTAAGGGCCTTGCTCAGGGGCCCAACGGTGTAGGATTCTTCTGCCGGCCGCGGGATTTGAACCAGCAACCTTCCAGCCACAGGCACAGATCCTGAGCCACACAGTCAGTCCTGCGCCTGCGCTCCTAACGACAGACGCATTGTGTTTATTTTGCAGTTGACCCCCTCGGCTGAGAAGGAGCCCTCCAGGGTTGTAACCCCCATGGCGGTGCTCAAGCTGCCCACCCCCACACCGCAGAAAGCTTTCACACTACAGGTGAGGGGAGGGGGGGGCTCGAGCTCAAACACTGCTGCACTCCGCAGAGCACTCGAACCCTAGAAGGGGCCATTTATTGCAGCTTGTATTTGTAGTCCTGGTATCTGAGCTCCTGCTGGACCTCCTGATACTGGGGAAGCTCAGCTCCAGAAGTACAGAAGACTGAGTGAACAAGGGCGTGACGCAGAAACGCATTCAGCTGAATGGCATCCGTGACCTGTGTTGGAGTTCTGTATGAATACATTTTCAAGCCATTGGATATTTTCAAGTTCAAGTTTGTTGTCATTATACTCGTGCACAGGTGCACTCGTGCATAACGAAAGGCTATTTATCTAGCTCTCAGTTGGTAAGCAGAACAAAAGAACAACAATACAATACAATTGTAAGAAAAGAAAGACAGAGACAATAGGCAATGTGCAAAACAACAAGTAACAGGTAATGTGCAAAATGGCAACAGTTGTGCAAAATCATACGCTCTGTGCATTTAAATCCTGTTTTTTTTGCTCTTGCAAAATGGTATGGGAGAGTTCGGGGGTCTAATCTTGCGGAAGTAGCGCTTGGGGAGGACTCGACAGTCTCGTTTTCTCACCCCAGATCAGCTCGGAGCCCTCCGTGTACATCGAGGTGGAGAACGAGGTGTCCGCCTTGGCCGGGGCCAAGCTGTGCCGGCTGAAGTGCCACCGGGAAGGCAGGGAGTGGGACGCCCTGCTCCCCAGCCGCATCATCACCGCGGCCGGCAGCTGGTGAGTCCCTGCGGTGCGGGCGCACGCTCCTTCAGCAGCCCGGCGAGCTGCAGGAGTGCTCGTTCAAACCTGTTTAGTGCCGGAGCGATGATGTTGCATCGAGACGGTGAGCAGGAGCTTTGGAGGCTGGGATAGCAGTGACATCGAAGGTTCAGTTCAGTTCAATTCAGTTTGTTTTTATATAGCGCCTTTCACAAGTGACCATACATGTTGTGAATACAGAACAGAAAAGACCAGAAAACAACGGAGGAGAGGAAACAAAAACTCCTCTGTAAGGAGAAAAGAAACCTCTGGGGATCCAAGGTCAACTGGCTGCCCAACCCCTCATGGGCATGCTATCATTAGACAGTTAAGGAAATAAATGAAGGTTGGACGAAAACCATGAGTGTTACACTACAGAAATGACCGATTGCTAATAAATATTCTTGGAAGAGTAAATGACATCCCCTTCTGGGTTGGGGGTGGGCCTGAGGGGCCAGAACTCCTCCACGGAGCGAAAAGGAGCAGCAGGCAGGAAGAAACCGCGGACGGGAGGGGCTCAGCGGCTGTTCCTCTGTCTCCTTCCAGTGACGTCATCTGCGTGGCGTGCGAGGACCGGATGCTCTCGGTCTTCTCGGCCTGCGGTCGGCGGCTGCTCCCCGCCATCCTCCTGCAGGCGCCCATGTCCGCGCTGCACTGCGCCGGCTTCTACGTCATGGCTCTCACGGCCTGCGCCACGCTCTCCGTCTGGTAAGGGCGCCGCCCCCCTCTGGGATGTCCGGGCAACCTGGGTCCGAGGAAACTGGCTGCTCTGCTGGCGTTGGCTGAAATCTGCGTGTTTGAGTGTCCGCTGGTCCACTGTTTAAGTTAAAACCCTCTGTTTAAAGGGCAACTACAAGGCTATTTTCATATCTGTTAGTAAGGGGTTAGTAAGAATCAGCATTGATGAGAGCATTTCACACCGCAGTAAAAGTGACATGTGCACACTTGTTAAACCTCCAATTTACATCCCGAGAAGGCCGAACTGTACTGGTCTGGACTGGAATTCAGCCAGAACACCCTTACAAACTCTTACGAACAGCTAGGAGTTTTATAATTATATTTAAATGCCTCAATTAAATGAATTGCCCAAAGGTTCGCACCTGCTACAGTACTGTGTGCCCTGTCTCCATACCTTGGCCTTGGCTTTTTAAAACTCTGGCCCAGAGGGAAGAGCGCCCCCTACTGGTCCACCGACATCAGTCTGGTTTTAAAGGGAGCTGCAATGCTGTCTTTATATTGCCGGGTTAGCAAGAATCAGCATGGATGAGTGCATTTCAAACCACAGTAAAAGTAAAATGTACACAGTAACATGTAAAACCTCCTATTCACATCACAAAATAGATAAACTTTCCAGGTACACGCAGCACCATGTTCTGCAGTTCAGAACGAGGCATCGAGACTTCCGGTGACGTGTTGTGGCCCTGCTACAGTGTAAACAAGTGGGCTTGTAAATGCATCTCTTTTAATCCAATAGAAATATTGCTCTTGAATTCAAGACAGTTTTTCCGACGAATACCACTTACTTGTTAACTCTGCAGGCAGATCATATTGGAAAATGTCTGCAGTGAAATGTCTGCTGCACAACCTGCACTTATTCTCTCATACTGTACATTAGTCATCGCAGGGACTAGTGAGCAGGAAGGGCCACATCACGTCGCAATTCGTGGGAACTTGAATGCGAGTTTGCAACGACATGGGAACTTACAGTACTTTCGCAAAGTTACGGTTTTGTGCTTAATACGAAGTTTGTAATTTTTTTTCTATAGCGTCAATGAATTTATTTTCTTACCGAGATCTGCTAGCCGGTCTGAAAACTTGGGACTGCAGCTCCCCTTTAAGGCTTTTAAATACACTGAAAGGCATTAAAAAGGCACATGCTATTGCCTCCAGTGCTCATTTGCTACGTTATGAATGTCTGTCATTATCTGAACTGTTTTCAACAGGAGATGAGCTTGCATCTTTAGTTCCTGGGCTAGAACATAATCTGTTCTGTGGTTATTTTCATATTCACGCCAACGGGATGACTTTTGAAGTTTTGTTTCGGTCTTGTGCAAGGTTTGCGTTGCTCACCCAAACGCGGTTTCTCTGTTCCCCTGCAGCGTTCAGTCTTCCTAGGTTTTGCTCTGCTACACCTCTGCATGTGTTTTTAGACAAAGCGGCAGTGAATCTCGTTCAAGGAGCAAAATATGATTTAATGACTGTCTGCGTTACAGGGATGTCCAGAAGCAGTGTGTTCTGGTGAAAAACGAATCTCTACAAATTATCTTATCAGGTGAGAGAAATTTTTGGTGTACTCCACTGGGCAGTTTGGCAGAAGAGCACTTCATTTTTTAAATTGAAGGCCTTACAGAGATCTGGCGTGTTTTGGTTCCAACTCTACTTGTCAAACAACCTTTTTTTAATTGTTTCTTTGAACAGCCGATTACGCAAAACATTCCCTTCATTGAAGTGCAGTCTCCTGTGAAAATGCCCCAGCGTCTGCTGAGTAGCGTTACAGTTCGGCATTGAATAAAATAATGAGTTCCATGATGTAGCTCAAATTTTAGATGGAACAAAAACAGACAGGAGGTGCCCCTGAGAATCTGAGAAACGTGATGTGTGGATTTCATGTTGGTTTATTATTATTGGTCTGTTGTGGTTTTCTGTGTTTTGACTGTCATGAGGAAAAGTGACATCGCAAAATATATTGGTAAATGTGAAGGTTTTGCAAAAGGGTCTTCGTTTTAGTCCTTTTTAAGCCATTCCCAAGCCCTCTTCCTGACCATGAAAGAAACAGAGGCATGAAAGAGAGACGCTGCGGTGTGGACAAACTCACCTTCCTCTTGCCCAGCGAGCTGGTCGGGCGGGACCAGGGCGAGCAGCTGCACTGGGCAGATCGAACTGATGAAAACAATCACGACATCAGCCTCTTGTATCTGACAGTGCGTCCTTTGGTGCTAATTACCAGGGGGGGTGTTGTAGCATTGTACCACTCAGTCTGCGTCCTCTGACGGGAGACGGGCCGCTGTCTCACGGTGTGGGGGGAGGCAAGGAAGCTGTTTGTGTTGAGATTGGGTGTGATGGGGTTTCTGTCCCTGCAGGGACGGACACGACGGTCTCCCAGTCTTTCCTGACTCAGCAGGGAGTCCCAGTCATCAGCCTTTCCAATGGGAAGTCCTACTGCTTCAACACCTCTCTGGAAACATGGTGAGTGTTGTGTGCTGGGCCGTGGGGGTCAAGTGGAAAAGATCTTCCATAGCAGTGTCATCCATTTCGGGTTTTGCCAGTCCCGCTGATGGCAGTTGAAGAGCACAGTGCAGTATGGTTTTAGCACAGCTGCACCCAAGGTGGGAAGTCTAATTTCTCTGCACCTGTTACTGGGTTCCAGTAACACCTGGAGCAGGTGAGGTGTGTTCTGGCTGGTGTTCATTCATCAGCACTGAGACACATTGATAATTATTAAACCCGTGGGTCAAAATGCCTCTTCACATAGATTGTATTTAAATGGAAACGTCAAAATGTAGCTCCCCCTATGTGTGCTTGAATGCAATTTGTATGTGTTAATCTGAAACTCTGGGATATAAGCAGATTCCGCGCCCTGTGTAAAAACAGTAAGCTTTTAGAGGTGAGTATCACAATAAGGCAATGAGCACGCAGCGCACAAGTTTCTAAAGCTCTGTGGTTGTCTAGTTCAAGTACTTTTTTGGTGTGGTTGACAGAGTTGCATATTGCAGGATTCTGGCTTGTTAGGCCAAGTCCCAGGGCTGTGGTGTTCATGTTGGCTGCTGCTCGTGTTGTGTGGCTTCTTTTGTTCCTGTAATGGGTCTCGAGGCGGGGGGGTGCTGGCCTGTCCCAAGAGCTGAGCAAATTCAGCGAGAGCACGCAGACGAGTGACAGACCTCTTTATTTCCACTTAGAGCTGCCTCCTCATTGTCAGTGCGGGTTCCTCAACCAGGCATTCAACGCCTGTCTGACAGCTGTGCTGGCAGGTGCCGGAAGGTGATTTTCACAAGGCGATTTTGGGCTCTTGAGCATCTCGCTGAGCGTTTAGCGGTGTCCTCCCCCTCCGTGCCTTGTGGCGAGAGTGTTGGCACTCGCCCGGCGCTGTGCCACGCGTCCCGTTACTTTCGGGATCTTTCGGCTGTTGGCGTCAAAGGCGTTTTCGGGAAAGGGGTCTATCGCAGCTCAGAGCCGGTACGGGAAGCTTGAATAAATGGCTCTCATCTGCAGCTCGAGCCGGGTAGGTTTCTGAACATGCTACTTGTCCAACATGGTCCACCTCCCTTCTGGTTCCTCACTCATGCACTGCCCTCCTCCTAGTTAGAGTCCTCCTGCCTCAACAAAGTGCCAGCGATTTAATACTCTTGGAAAGACATCGGACATTTCTGTTACCTGCTGAATGTGGCACTGCAGTTCCCTGGGGAGACGTCTGGGTGCCGTGTGTGAACTCTCGGAAGATTAGTGCTGAAAACAAATTATTAACCACTTTCCCCCCATTTTCAGGCAGCAGGATTCTGGACTGGAGTGCAGTAAAGATTTCATTATTTGCTCATTATTTAGAGAGGATCAGCGTAAAACTAAATGTACTTAACTCTTGCTCTCATGGGTAAGAGAACAAGCCAATTACAGACAAACTGGACTCGGAGAGAGATTTTATTATCCGCTGGAGGGGGTGAATTTTTACAGTAGGGGTGTTGGTGAACAGACAGACAGAAGAAAAAAACCACAACAGGAACAACAATATACATATTTGCATAGAGAGTCAAGTATTAAGTAAGGATATGGCTACAGGTATGAATGAGAACTTAAATCTGTTGGTTTTGGAGCTGGGGAGTCGGTATCTGCGTTCTGATGGGAGTAACTGGAAATGATTAAACAAGGGGTGTGAAGGATTGTCACAGATGGATTTTGCTCTTTGTGAAACCCATCTATGATAGATGGAGGAGAGGGCAGGAAGATCAACACCAGTGATCTTCTGACATATTTTCACAAGCCTGCCCAGCAGGTTCTTGCCTCTAAAGTAGGTCTTGACTGTAGGACTGTCCTACTGCTAAGGGAAGGGGCGTGTGCCTAACCTCGCTGGTGTAACTTGTCGTCTAGGAACCTGATTGCAGACAAGCAGGACTCCCTGGCCCACTGTGCGGACTATCGGAACTGCCTCCCCTCACAGGAAGCCATGATGGCCAGCGGCCCCCTGGCCGTGACGCAGGGGCGGACTGTCAAGTAAGCCTGGTCTGCGAGGGCCGGACTCGCGGTCACTGCTGTCCGTCTGCTTGGGGATCTGAAGTGTTCTCCGGGAGGGGATGATGTTCACGGGGATATGTAGATCTTGCTGAAATGCGTTTGTTGCCGCAAACACGCGTGAGGGCTACTACCGTGTGACTTCTCCAAGGGGTGTAGGTTTTGGGGGGCGCGGGTCTGTCGAGGCGGGAGCACCACTGACTCGCGCGTCTCCCCGTGTGTGCTTGCAGCGCGGGGCGGCAGGCGTCCAGGCTCTCCTCCACCCCCCACCACGTCCAGCAGGGCATGACGCTGGCGTTCCTGGAGAACCAGCTGGCCTCGGCACTTATTCTCAAATCCAGCCAGGAGTACCGCCACTGGCTGCTCATCTATGCACGCTTCCTGGTCAACGAGGGTGAGTGACGTGCGCGGTCGAACCGCGAGCGGGGTCACGAAGGAGAGGAGGGTGTTGGCATAGCAGCTGATCGATCAACTATCTTATCAAACCCAGGGTACCCTTTTCAACAGCGCCAACCCCCTGCAACTCCTGATGTGAAGAAATGCCTCCTATTTTTACTGCTAAATGCATCTCGTCTCAAGATCCCTCTGTGATCCTGGCCCCTGAGAGCTTAATGTTTAAAGATCAGAGTTGTTAATCCACATTGTCTAGTTTACTTTATCCCAGTCTGTCAGCTGACCTTCCAAGCCCATAGGTCACCTGACAGATGGACTACAATACTCAGCCCTGCCATGGCTCTTGCGGGGCTGGTCCTGATTGGTTTCGAAGTTTCCTGGAAGATCAGAACTTGCACTTTCCAGAGACTCAGTGGAAGTGCGTTTAAAACTGAGAACAGGAGGTACCTTTTTTTTTAACTCAAAGGTTATAGGTGGTCTGAAATAAGTCCTGTTGTTGCCTTTATGGAAAGTCTGGGTGACGTTCTCTGATTGGTTAGCTGCTAGCGACCAATCAGTGTGGAAGAGAGTTCAGAGCTGTAAGCTTGAATCTGGAGGTTGTGGGTTCAGTTCCTGGATGGGATTCTGTTAAAATTACCGTCCTTCGGATGTGACGTAAAACCGAGGTCCTGACTCTCTCTGGTCATTAAAAAGCCAAAGCCAAATTTCCAATTGGCCCTTACCAATCATGGCCTCCTAATAATCCCCATCTATAGATTGGCTTCATTACTCTGCTCTCCTCCCCACTGAGAGCTGGTGTGTGGTGAGCGTTCTGGCGCACTATGGCTGCCGTCGCATCATCCAGGTGGGGCTGCACTTGGTGGTGGTGGAGGGGATCCCCATTACCTGTAAAGCACTTTGAGTGGAGTGTCCAGAAAAGCGCTAGATAAGTGTAAGCTATTATTATTTTATTATTATTAATACATTATTAATTAATGACATGGCCTCAACCTGCACCTTTGTGTAGCTTGGTCTTGTTGGATCTTCAAAGCTCAGCAAGGCTGAGCCTGGTAAGCACTGGGATGGGAGACCTCTAAGGAAAGGCTCTTCCCACTGGACTACATTTTCCAAGCCAATATACCAGTATGGTGTGGGGATACTGTGCGGTAGGAGAGTCCTTCGGAAAAGGCATTAAACTGAGGAAGAGGTGTCCGACGACATTCCTTGTAAGAATAGGGGTGTTAATATTGGTGTGCTGTGTCCCACTCTGGGCTTGTACCGTCTGGCACCCTGGTCTCCACCTGATCAACTGGGTTTGGGGCTGCACTTCAGCAGTGGGTGAAGTAGGGTCCCCTTGTATGTGATGCTAATTGAAACTCCTTGGAATAACATTATCCATCCATCCATCCATTTTCTAACCACTTCTTCCACTTCAGCGTTGCGCCTCCCGGCAAGTAGCAGGCACAAGGCAGGGTACGCCCTGGACGTGACGCCACTCCACTGCAGGGCAGGCAGGCACAAACACAGACGCTCACCTAATGCCAGTTTTCCCAGAAGCTAATTAGCCCACCAGCATGCCTTTCGACTGTGGGAGGAAACCGGAGCACCATGTAGAAACCCACACAAGACACGGGGAGGACATACAAGCTCTACGCAGACAGCACCCAAGGCCCCAGCGCTGCGAGGCAGCAGTGCTGACCACTGCCTCTCTGAATAGTCTCATCATGATCTAGAAATGACCTAGTGACCTCATTGCTAACATCTTGTCTGTTCTCTTGCAGGCTCTGAGTATCGGTTACGAGAGCTGTGTAAAGACTTGCTCGGACCCGTGCATAAGTCAACTGGCAGCGTGTGGGAGGCAACTGTTCTGGTAAGAATCTAAGCCTGGGAATTTCTCCCTCGTATTTGAAACGCCTTTGTCCGCGTCAAAGCTCTTCATCCGTGGAGATCCAGGACCCCTCCCGTGGAACTCCGCCCCCGACGTGTCTGGTTTTCCCACTGGGATGTCAGACCCTCGCAGACGCCTCTTCAGCCTGGAGCACGAGTGTCTGCGTGAGGCCCTGCCAGAGACCGTGCCAGGAGCTGTTTGTGCAGGGAACACATTTCTGTACTGTTGTGACGGTATAGTGTTACTGATATTAGTAATTGTGACGAAGGCAGTGCAGGCCTTCGTCCTGTGACCTCTCTTGAGGTGGTCCTTTGCTGTTCAGTGGTCCTGTTTTGTTTTAGCTCTGTGGGTCTGCAGTCTGCCCTTGTCTGTCGTGCCTCCATTTTGTGTGGGGTTACAGAGCTGGGCCCTTCCATGGCCTAAATGGAGGCTGCTTGTCAGCTGCTTGTCAGCCCCTGCTCCCCCCAGGCCAGCGAGGCAGGAGGACTCGGGCCCCTGCTCTGCCCCCGGGCCAGCGAGGCAGGAGGACTCGGGCCCCTGCTCTGCCCCCAGGCCAGCGAGGCAGGAGGACTCGGGCCCCTGCTCCCCCCAGGCCAGCG